ACAAGGCAACAAACCCATCGCTCTGCTCTGAGTTTTGCACCATTCCACAGACCTCTGCCTCAGGGGCCGGTTTCTCCCAGCTGTTAAAAAACGACCTGAAAGCAATAAAAGAGCTCCTCCTGCAGACGCTTGGAAGGTGTTGGCTTTTTACTGTGACGCAGCATGTGGTGCCAAAATAAATCAAACTGTTACTGGTAGAACCACTTTCACCCGTGGCAAGACTGAGGAAGGGGCACAGACACTTGTGTTGCAGTGAGCTCTCAAGGAGGACCTGGAAGGCATCAGTGAGCAGGAACTTTCTCTAGAATGTAACTGAGTGAAAAAATAGTCCACTTAAGGTAAACACACTTAATCGACACTGTGCTCTGGATTTACATGTGGATGCTGTTTGGTCGCCACCTACACAGAAGCCAACAGAAGTCAATGGGCTGGTCAGCACCGAGGCGGAGTCCCAAACGGTGGACGTACCACGTATACCTTTATTTCTTAAATTGCCAAATAACTGTTGCCACTGAACAAAGACCCTACACAGTTTCTGGAGACACTTGCACCACTAACACTTTTCTGACATGACTATTGTTAACTTATTGTTACGAGGAAAGAAAAAAGAAGCAAAAACATTAAAAGTGAAAAATCAAACCCATAGCAGACACCTGCTCTATCTGGGGTTGAAAAGTCCTTACCCAACTGTGAAGGAAGTGGTACTACTGAACTATTAAACTGATCACTGGCTAGAAGATTTTAGGAATTGTGCCTATTTTTAGGATTTTTTAAAAAAAGATTAGATTTGTTTATAGTCTTGTGTATTGTGCTTCTGTCTATTCTTGTGCTAGGCAGTATTACTATTTGTAAATTTATTTATATTTATTGTTATGAAGATAAAAGAAATTATGTAAACTGAGCACTGTTCAATTTTTTAAAATGCTGCAGTAACCTGTTTTACATCTGCTAAATTATTCATAATCAAAAATGCAACAATTTTAATCACTGTTTTTACACTACATTTCTTTTAAATAAGCACTTTTGAAACTGTGAAACTCATGTTTTTAAAAAAAATTCAGAGACCAAATATTGTAGCTGTACCGTATCGATTCACCATAGTCTGTCTTTCCTAATTAACCAAGTAAAATTGATTCTAATGTAGTTTTTTAAATTTTCAAACCCTGCTTTATACTTGGTAACATACATTGCAAAAAGAATAAAAATAAATGTGATGAAACATCTGAAAATATCAAAAGCAAACTGTATGTTGGAATTTAGCATTTAGTCTACTTATACCTCTGTGACCATGAAGTAATATTTACATCTCGTGTTTTGTCTGTTCCTGTGCATTAATAGATTTTCCCATTCTGTCAGTTCCCGGTATCGTATCCACGTGCTCGCGGGCTCCTCTCCCGCACCGAGCGTGGCTGGCTGGGGGCAGAGAGCCTCTCTGGCTTAAGTCCAACTACTGAACACCCGGAGGGCGCAGGACGCTGGAGCCACCCAGCTGGAAATCACTGCTGTGAAGAGCAGGGGCTAGAAAACGTCTGGGCCCATCTCCGCCACGGCAACCTCTTCCAAAAGGGCACGATGCTCCACGTCGTAATTTATTCTTGAAGAACAAATGTGATTAATGATCGTTTGCTGTGACTGGCGTCATCTACGATGTCTTTGGGGTTTTTTTAAATAAATATTTCTTAGCACTAAGCCTGGGTCGTTCTAGATGTGCTGCATTCTAACTGCTCTGGTGTCAGGCGCGCCCCTGCCCCGTGGCACGCTGCAGCTCGGCATTAAACGGTAATTCCGAGGTATCTGCTACTGGAAATCTGACCCATCGAGGAAATGGTTTCATAGAACTTACGGATGGCAACAAATGGACAAAGCCCAGACGCGTTTGACTCCAGCCACGGTGTCCGGGTGTGCTGAGGACCAGACCCTTCTCTTGGATCTCAGACTTGTGTGCTTGTGTGCCAGCGCTAACAGAGGAGCATCTCACCCACGCACAGAGCATTTGTAGCAAATGGAAGTGGGGGATTAGCTGTAAAAGAGCAGCTTTGCCCAGGCTTCGTTGCTTCTACAGACATGTCCGAGCTGAGGCTTTGTCCCTGGCTCAAACCCTCCAGGAGAAGGAGAGTTTACAGGTATTTACTGTATGAACTCTTTTTCCATTCTGTCCGCCTATTCCTGAGAATCTCGATAGGTAACTGCGTGGAAGAGCTGTGGTGTAGGGACCAGCGTTCGCAGGAGGGATGCTACGAGCTGGTCCGTACTAAAGCAGTTTCTGTGCGGCAGGGAAGGGGCTGTGCAGCGGCGGAGGCACCGGCCCCTGCTCACACCCACCGCATGTATACAATGACAAAAGAAACAGAGCTCAGGAAAACTTCCTTGAGAACTGTGCTCACTTTATTGGCGGTGGTTTGGCTCCTTCACGGCGAGCATCAGCACCCACCTTCCCTGACAAAGTGCAGTGACACCTTTCAGACCAGCAAATGTCTCATAAGGCTCTTTCCACCCCCACCCCCGGGACAGGGACACCTCCCGGCAGACCCTGGTGGGAGTCCCCGACACAGGCATGACCGTGGAGGTGTCCAACACCTCCACACCACGGCGATACCAGCACTGCACTTGAACCTGGTGTCCCATCTTCCATCGCCTCCACCTTTGTGAGCCAAAGCTAAACCTGTGCTGGTGAAATGATGTACCTGCACAGGAAGAGGCACTGGGAAACACATATTCAAACTTCCCCTCCACGAACCAAAGTGCTTAAATGCCACCCAAGAAGGAAGGTACAGGTCCGAGGAGACGGAGGGCTCACCCTGGCTCCTGCGCATCAGCCGAGGAACTGGGTCACTGGGGCAGGAGCACCCGGAGCTGTGTCCTTCCTCCTCTCCATCCTCCGCAGGAGCCAGAAAGGACACAAGATGGGTGAGAGGAACAGTTGGGTCAGGCAAACCGTGGTGGATTCGTTGATGTTCCCGCTGCAACAGGTCCCAGCGTGGCTCACTGATGTCTTTTCTGGGCCATCAGCTACTCATAGTCACATGTACTGATAGCTCCCCAACAAGGGGAAGGATGAGACAAATTGCTCCTCACAGTTCCTGAGTTTATTATAAAACATCAGTCTGAGACTGCTTCTCAAACAGGGTCTACATTTCCTTGTGCTGGTGCCTGGTCAGCCTCAACGTGGCCATGCGGAGACCTCCTCCTTTGTCCCGCTCCCCTGCGGTGTCCGGGCCAGGCTGTACTTCCAGCTCCATCCAGTCTCACGAAATGTGTCTGACACTGGTGCTTGTTTTAAAGACTAAGGCCAGGGCTTGCAACTAAAACACAGTAAAAGATTGTAGATTCTTTTTAAAATCAACTTCTGCACCAGGTCCAGACTCCAGACTTGGCTCGGGACAATTTTATCTTCCACCAAGCCGCCCCTCTGACGAACACCCCCAGCGCCAGAGGGAACTTTGCACGGATGGAGAGACCATCTTCATGGCTTAAAATACAAACACTGGCATCCTTTATTTAGGCACAAGACTAAGAGTCCAAGGCTGCAGTTTGAGGGCTGATGAATGGGTGGGGAGGTGAGGTCTGGCCTCTGAGCGGCAGCGTGTCCTCGTGCCCCTCCTGCCCCACGGCGATTGCCCTGCACGCCACTGGCTCAAGATGGGCCGTCATTATCCACTGTCGACAGGAGACGGGCGACCTGGGCCTTCTGCGCACGGGTGATGTGCTGAGTCATCTGGATGACACAGTCCATGGCCACCTCGGGGTTGGCTTGGACCAAGCTGCAAGGCAGGGAGGAGAGGGCATCAGACTCAGGGGCCAAAGCAAGAACTGCCTCATCTCCACCACCCTCTGTCCCCAACCCAGGGGACAGCATCGCCCCTCGCATCCCGACTCCTGCAGCCACTCACCTCCGGATGTGCTTGAGCACGTAGTCCCGCTTCAAGTACTTGATGTTCTCCCGGATGGCTGACTGGGTGCCGTCATCCTCTTGCATGTGCTTCTCCAGCCACTCCACCACCACCTGGTTGTTGTCCCAGAGGTAGCCCTGGAGAGAGCAGCACCATGGGCAGGGGGTGCTGCTGCCTGCGCAGCCTGAGCCCCCCCTTTCTGCTGTGGCCTCAGGCTTTTTCCTCCCATGACACAACCAGGCAATGGGATTTTTCTTCTCGGTCCTGCACATCCGGCTCGGCACGGCACGCTCCCCTACTCACATGCAACAGCCACTGGGGAAAAGGCTCAGTCTGGAAATCAAAACTGGGGAAAGCTTCATGGAGTGTTTAAAGTGCAAAAAGTTAAGGCAAAACACTTCCTGAGCTGTTTACTTTGCGTGCCCTCACTTCCCAGCTCGGCAAGCACAGGAGCGACCTGGTGAGGTGCGTGTCACGGTGCTTGCATTTGAGCGCAGCTTCCATGCAAAGACCCCAAGTCTCACTTCTGAGAGCAAGGTTGGGAGCTCCCTCGGGAGCCCCCTGGCCGCAGGGACACCTCAGAAAGCTGAGGCTGGGAGTACCTTCGCGGCTCCTTCCGTCTCCATGAACCAGCGCCGCAGCATGGACTGGATGTGGATGTGGCTCAGCTCGCTGTTCGCCTTCAGGACCTCTGCCTTCACCGCCTCCTCCAGCAGCAGCCGTCGCAGCCGCCAGTAGAGGAAGGACCGGGCGTTCTTCCACTCCAGGATGTCCTGCAGAAACGAGGACACAGCCCAGGTTCACCTTTGCACAAAAGAAGAGGAACTGATGTGCAGCAACCGCTCGCTTGCAGCTCGCGCCGGCAGGGTTGGAGGCAGCTCTGCTGGGCTGGAGCAGAAAGCAGCACCCGGGGCAGGAACAGCACATGGGGCTGCAGCCCAGACCCCTGGGAGAGGACTTCGCCTCTCACCTTCACGCTGCCACCGCAAACCCCCCTGCGCTGAGCTCCTTCCCACCGCCACCGATGCCCTGGCTCACCGTGATGACGCCTTTCTCCTGCATGCGGCCTGGGGTGTCATGCAGGTCAGCGAAGTGCACGGCCACCTGGTAGTACATGGGCAGGAGGAGGTCCTCCCGGGCCTTGAGTTGCTTCTCCAGCTCCCTACGCTGCACCTCGGAGAGCTCGGGGGTCCCTGTGGGACACACCACACTGAGCAGCCCGTCCGCCACACCTGCGATGGGCCACTGCGGGGTCTGAGCTCTGCTCTATGCTTTTACCTCAGCCGCCCCCACCAGGAAACAGGGCACCTGGTGTCATGTCCCTTTGCTTTGGCCCATTTACACCCCCACCCAGAGCCCAGCCACAGAAGGCCACGGCCACGAAGGGGCCGCACTGTGTTCAGTGCCGGCCGCGAGAGAGGCGGGAGGTGGCACTTGCAAGGACTTTGTGGGACCATGTTTTAGCAGGGTGGAGGGGCACAGGGGCAAGGACCTCCCAATGCTGCCCCACCACTCGCTGCAGGCAGGAGCCGATCACAGGGTGAAAGAAGACCCAGTGCATTAAAGACAACTTATGTGTGGCTCTGTAATGACTATGTGTTGTCTCATCAGGTATTGATTCAGCGTGGCCGTTGCCATTCTTCATCTCAAAGCATGGGAGGAAAGTCCAGCACCATTTAGAGATCCCCCAGGAGATACAGGTGTTTTAAAGCACCACCACATCCCCTTGGCAGGTTCCACTATCAGAAAAGCCATAAAGAATTTTCACAGAGGAACACTAGAAGATTTCCTGATGGTTGCCACCACGGTGTTTGAGCTTCATGTTTTAACTTAGCGCTACCAATGCCGACAAGCTGAAACGCCCTTCCCTTACCCAGCTGCTCAACAAGCTTGGCATAGACCGTATCGATCCTTCTCATGGTCTTCACCAAATCTTTCTTTCTGAACTTGATCTCCACTGTTCCTCCAGGCTCCAAAATGCCTCCCCTGGAAGGAAAGTTTGGTAAAGCAGGGACTGGTCTGCACGGGAGAAGAAATGCTGGGACAAGAGGTCCAGGCAACTCTCTCTTCTAAGAACTACAGAGGGAGAAAACTTAAAAAGGGTTTTGTTTCCAGTCTGGGATTCTTGTCTACCCTCCCGCTCCCTACAGCTTGCTCCAGTGTGCATTAATTCAGGTTAGAGAAAAGGCCTCCTGACCCCCAGACCCATGCTTTACTCGCCCACAGCCTTCGCTGGACACAGGAGGATATCCCCAAGGAGATACTTGCCACACTGCTTTGTAAGACCCCTGGAACTTTTAGCTGATGATTTTGATCAACTCAAGGGTAAAAAATACACATTTCAAGTGACCGGAGGCTTTTGCCAGTGGGACTATGACTCTGCAGACTCCATATACTGGCTCTCATTTCTTTGCGTGAATTTTGGGTGGAGAATTTTGAGGGGAATTTTGGGTGCTCACCTGCTCTCCTTGTCCGCGTAGAGCTCCACGTACAGCGGGTTGATGGTGGAGTCAATGACGACCCAGGAGCCTCCCCGCAGCTCCGCATGTGGCGGGATGTAGACCAGGACAGGCTGCTTAAAATCCCGGAGGCTATCGACAATGAAGGCGCCGAACTTCAGCATTTGGTCATACATGTCTGAAAGCCAAAGGGATTCAGTGGCTGGGTGCCCCAACTGCTGTGGACCAGGCTCCTGCTCCTTGCCTCCTCCCAGCTGCCCAAAGCCACCTTCTCCATTGGAGAGACCAAACAAGCACCCCAAAACCAGCCCAGGAGGAAGCCACCAAGCCCTGGGACCTGGGTCCTGGTGATGACCCACCACCTCCCCAGCCCAACCCTACATCCCGGAGTGATGCGGACAGCCCCCCGGTTGGCTGGGTCATCCCAGGACCCCATGGGGTGGCAGGAGTGCCGGCAGTATGACATGGCACAGGGATCTGGGCACCTGCACCCCACGCACGGGTACCTTTCATGCCACTGGAGAAGCCTCGCCAGTTGGCGAAGATCATCAACGGGAGATGCTCCCGGTTGAAGTCCCGAATGGCCTGGGCTGTTTTAAAAGCAGAATCTGGAAACCAGACCTGCCCAGCCTGCTGGATTATCTGCAAAAGACAGCAAGCAGTAGTGCTGAGACTGATGCCGGTGCTTCCTGGCACACCGCGCTGGCGGGTTGGTGGCACGTGGTGTGCAAGAGCTGGAAGAAAAAAAACTGACCAAGCACCCTTGATTTCACCAGTCTTTAAAGAAAATAAAGACATGCCAAAGAATTACACTAAGCTTTTTCCCTGCTTTCCCCTCCAGCCTCCTCCCAGCTGCCGCTCAGCTGCACTAAGGTCTCCCCACACACCTTCGCCTCCGAGTCCGGGTTGGCAGGGTCTGCGGGTATCGTCACCTCCACGGTGCGGGTCTCAACAGCGATGACACCCACTGGGAGACCTCCCAGCCTGCAGTGAGGCAGGGTGACCTTAGCAGAGGCCAGTTCCCCTCCATGTTGCACCCCAGCCCCACCAAAGAGGTTACCCCCCATCACCATCCCAAAAGCAGTGCCATGGCCAGGGCTTGAGTGTGCTTGATCGCGCACGCGACCTCCCCACATCACGCTCTGCCCTGGGATTCCATCCCCTGCTCCCAGCAGTACCTCGCTCTGCCAACCACAACTGTCTGAGCCCACGGCCTCATGATCTCCAGGAAGCTGCCCTGGTCGAAGAAGCCACTCTGCCAG